GTACCCTATTCTCACAGCTGTGAAAATATGAGTCTGCTTTTATAATTCATTCAGAGAAGGCTTTTCTCCCTCTAACTGTCAAACTTGGTAAGTAGAAGCTGTGAAATTACTTGGATAATTATGTGTTCCTCTACCTGTTCATATGGACATGCTGTTCTTAGACTATAAAGAGGGTTCCCGACCAGCTGCCAGTGTAGCAGCACTTTAGGCCATATTCCCTATAATGCTTAGCTACACTCACTCTTGCTCTTACTTTCTCGATAAGAAAAGTACATTGTTCATAATTGGTAATACATTTGAACTTGCTTTTATCACAGAAAACTGATTTTCAGATGTATGCAAAATATTGTCAGAATAAACCCAGATCAGAGGCAATTTGGAAGAAGTATTCAGAATGCGCTTTTTTCCAGGTATAGTAATTATTCAGGTTTTGGATATATTCTTTCTGAAAGATACTGGGATATTTCTTATTTATAAATTCATTTTCTACTTTAAATAAAGTACTTTAAGTACTTTAATCAGCATATACATATATTGATTAAAAAGCAATTTTACCCTCCCCCAAACACACACATATGCACACATGTACACATAAACACAACCACATTTATGCTGCTCCCCAGAGGCAACCACTTTTAGCTCTTTTAGCTACTTCTTTTGATATTTACCTCTAAATCTTCAATATCATGCTTATGTTGCTGCTTCCCAACATGGGTTAGGGTTGATAATTGTTTGAATCAGATTATATACTGGGTTTTATCCATATCCAGATGGGGGTCCTGAATCTTACATAGGTATAACCTCTTCCACTTCTTTTGTATTCTGCACTTACTATACACACATTTCATCCTATACAGCCCCCATCTTGACCTTATTAGAGACCCTACAATGTTCCCAGGATCCAAAGTTATGACCCTTATATTTATAGTGGCAGGGAATATAGCCAGTTAATGAAGGCTGGATTTTACTTGTGATATTAAAAAAACCTCTTCTCATGCCCAACCTGATTTATATTCTGTATAACGTATTTCTTTTCTGGGCCTTGACCTGTGGAGCTGAACCTTCTGTTAATTTTCTTGGATATTTTGAAGAACTTTTTAGTAATGTTCATCTATGGTCATTTGTTGCTTTCTCACCTTTTGAACATTCTACATCAATGTGAATTTATATATAAATATTTTAGTCTTTGAAATTTTGAATTTTCTACCTCACAAATCCTTGAAATAATGTTTACTGTAGTTTTTCAAATATGCTGCCTCTAATGGTCATACCACATGTAACATCAACTTCTTCTGGTAAATTTTCCTTGTGATGTAAGAAACCTGCCATCATTGGGTCTAATCAATGAACACTTGGCGTTTTCACAGGACTATGTCTTCATTTAAATTCATTGACAATATATTTTATCACAGGAATGTCAAAGAAAATTAAAACACAGACTTGGTCTGGATTCCTATTTACTCAAACCAGTGCAACGACTGACTAAATATCAGTTACTGTTGAAGGTAAGTACATTAAGCATTTGTTTATTTACTTTGGGTCAGATGTGCCAAAGTCATGAAAAGGGATTAGAAGACTAGAAAACACTAGAAATAGGTAGACTCATTGACTAGAAAGGATAGGTTTAGCAGTAGGATCAACGTAGTGTGTTCCTTAGGTTCACTGGCTATGCAAGTGCTGGAAGCATAGATGTAAAGCTGAGAATATCTGGTGTCTCTTTAGCTATTTAACTGTACATACATGTACATTGACATATTTATGACATTTACTACAGAATTTTTACTGTTAAGAAGAACTAAGCAAATATTTCTTAGAGTTTTGCAACTGCATTTAATGAGTCTTCTCAATGGAAAGTGAAGATGGCACACCCCTTGTGTAATGTGTAAATACAGCATAGCTTGTTTTAAAATGTATTTTCACAACGTCATACTCAATGAGCAAAAACTGAAACCATTTTCCCTAAGAACAGGAACAAGACCAAGATGTCTGCTTTCAGCACTCTTATTCAACATAGTACTGGAAGTCCTAGCCATAGTGATCAGACAAGAAGAAAAAATAAAAGGCATCTAAATTGGAAAGGAGAACATAATGATATTATACATAGAAAACCCTAAAGACTCCATAAAAACTAGATTTAATAAATGAATTCAGCAATGTAGCGGAATACAAAATTAGCAACCAGTAATCGATGACATTTTTATACACCAATAATGAACTCTCAGAAAGAGAAATGAAAAAAACACACAAATTAATTTATCATTGCAACCAAAAATTAAGATACTTAGGAATAAACTCAACCAAGGAGGTAAAAGACCTATACTTTGAAAATTACAGGACGTTGAAAAAAGAGATAGAGGAAGATATAAACAAGTGGAAGAATATATCATGTTAATGGATTTATAGAATCAACATTGTTAAAATGTCCATATTACCCAAAGCAATCTATAAATTCAATGCAATCCCTATTAAAATACCAATGGTATATTTCACAGATCTAGAACAAACACTACAAAAATTTATATGGAACCAAAAAAGACCCCCCAAAACTTCAGCAATCTTAAGAAGAAGAACAAAGTTGGAGGAATCACAATACTAGATATCATGTTATACTACAAAACCACTGTACTCAAAACACCCTAAAGCACAAGAACAGAGAACCCAGAAATTGACCCAAGCCATTATGTTCAGTTAATATTTGACAAAGGAGGCAAGAGCATGCAATAGAGTAAAGACAGATTCTTCAATAAATGGTGCTGGGAAAATTGGACAGGTACATGCAAAAAAATGAAACTAGACCACCAACTTACACCATACACAAGAA